AGAGAGAAGAGAGATAGCGCGGAGCAGAGGAGCTGCTACGCGGACCAACAAGGGCCAACCATCTAGAATCCTGTTAAATCTGGTACGTGCAGACTTGCCTAAATCGGTAAATATTATGAATGTACCTTTAGAATCATTCTGTGACAGCTGATGTACTGCTGCCACACTCACAAGTAGCATATTTAGGAACTAGGAATAGTATTAGTTGAAGATTAGCCGTGTAGCCGCGAGGGAGCACGAACAGAAGGTTACGCCGGTCTGGCGTAGCTGCAGCAGATAAAGAAGCCAACAAAGACTCTTTTATAAGCAGGAAGGGAAGGTGGTGTACACTGGGTGTGGTTGGAAACGGGTATCAGCAGCCCCGTTTCCTTCAACACTTCGTCCTCGTGGGGTTCCACATACTGTTGCATTGATTTTATCGGATCGATCGCACGGACGCCTGCGCCCGTGCTCCCCCAAGTGGTTGATCGATCTGATAGGTTAGAGCACGGTTTCTTATGCAATTGCCCATGCGCCTGGCGAGTTGAAGCTGCGACGCTGGAGCACCGCAGAGGTAAGCTTGATAGGCATCCGACGCCAACCGTCCTCGCATGCGAATGGTGTCTGCGTCAACGCCCGCGTTGTGTAGCTCGGTGGCTCCACCCGTTCGTACTGAGTGTGTCGAAATGTGTTTCGGGTCAACATTGCAATGCGCTGCTGCCTTTCGTAGCGTGGCTGACATCGTTTCTGCTGATAGCGTCCTCTGTGAGCTGATGGAGCATATAGGGGCATCCACCGGCAGGTTTAGCTTGACAGCGTTCCGCAACAGGAGTAGTGCAGCAAACACGGGACATACGGGAGCTTGATCACTCTTGCAGAGACTTCGGCTTGTCGAAATTCCGTTCTGGTCGGCTTTACTCTCCCGTAGGGTGATTTTTACCGAGGACGCCGTCTTGAATTTATCTGTTTTTGATCCGAGGGCGTCGAAGATGGCTACATCTTGTACTTGAAGACAGTAGACGTGTCGTTTGCCTCGTGAGGACAGGAATTCCGCGCCTCGGAGACAAAAGAAGAAGCCCAGCACCGCAGCCTCACAAATGACGCGGTGCTGGGCGATCGACATGTCTGCGACGGCTGCGATTCTCTTGAGCATTTCGACCGATACGGCTCCATGGTGGTTTCTGTGGGGGCTAAGTCGACGCATG